AGGACTTAGAGATTCGGGGGTGATTGTTGGAATCATAAGTCCTCATTTCCCTCCACCCATGTCTTCCACACACAATAAAGGAGGGGACACCAACAAGTTGGGTGGGTCTCATACTTATTAATATATGATTGAAATGATTAAGTCCATCCTATATATTCAGTGAATTACCAAGAGGGTAATACACAACACAAACACAGTGTAAACAAGTTTGGTTTTGAGTTATATTTCCAAATCAATCAAAGAGATATTTTGATATATTTGTCTGTGTTTATACAATTGCTATACTAGAATTGTTTATACAATTGCTATACTATACAATTGCTATACTAGAATTACGACCCTCCAAACTCCTTTGTACGACCTGAATTTTCTTCATGTATCTTTTTTTTTTTTGTGTGTCTTGGCTAGATGTTAGGCTTAAGAATCAACTGATTTGGATGAGCATAGCTTGCATTACATATTCCCAAACATGGGTATTTGAAAACATAAATTTTTCGAACTTAGTTTATTATTTTTACCGGAGAGCAGACCCAGCCTTGACAGTGGGCAACCCGGATGGTCACCCAGGGCCCATATCTCTAAGGGACCCAAAATTCCTAAAGTATATGGTATAAATTATATATATAGAAAAATCTAACTTATCTAAAAATGTTAGGAAAAGTATTTTTCTTTAAATTAGTTGTTTTTGTAATATTTTGACCATATTTTTGTTTTTGATTATTAATAGTGAATTTTATAACGGTGTGTGTATTTTCGATTTAATTTTTATTATATTATGATTTTTGGTGGCCCATTTTTTATTTTCGTCCTAGGCTCACTATATCTTTGGACCGGCCCTGCCGGAGAGAATGCATAAATTTTCTTCAACTTTGAACTCATATGAACTCTTATTTTTGTACTTAAGGCGGAGTTTCATAGCCCCAAAGATGAGCCGTTGCACATAGAAAATCGGTACTAGAATACAATTGGTACTAAAGTGCCGATACTGGTCCCGGAACCGAACCAATACCATATTGTACCTATCGGTTCGGTACCCGGTACCCAAAAATCATATTTTCAGTTAATTATATTTGTATTAGAAAACAACTTCTTTACTCAAACTTGTTTCATGTTTTTCTTAACATGCATGTTTTTGTAATTTTAAATTGTTTTATAAATATACATATTTTAGTTAAATATTATCGTAAGAAATGTATTTTAAAATCAAAAGTTAAAAACACATATTATTATTTTTGTACTCTATTATCAAAAGCATTTTAAATAAAAATTGATTAAAAATATATTTTCTTTCTTACCATTTGGCGAGTAGCAGATATTGACACAAACTTATATAAGTGGTTTCACTAATGGAATCCGTTTAATGGGTAAAGCAGGAACAAAGTCGAGCTAGTAGTCGACTGAAACTTCCAAATATTTAATTCAGGTATTATTTTCATGTTCAGCTTCGAAAATGTTCAGTTCTTCGATCATTCTTGCTGTATTAAAATATGCATTTTGTTATTTAATTGCTAAATTTTTATTTGATGTTCTTGGGGGATTAGGTATACAAATATCATTATTTTGCTTATATAGTGTATTCAGTCTACTGTCTCCACTTTGATATTTTTATTAATTCAAATCCAGTAGTTTTATTTCCAATATTCTGATTCATATATTCTAGAGACTAATTTTAGATGTTTTCTTTGCAACAGACTTTTCTGGACCTATTAAGAACCAAATTAAGACAGTATAATTCTGAAGGATGATTCTTTCTGCTCTTTTGGTTTCTGTTGGAATAAATTTCGGTTTATGTGTTATATACATCTGTCTATTCTCCATATTGAGAAAGCTTCCAGTTCATGCTGATGTTTATGCACCACGGATAGTTGCTGAAACAAAAAATGATTCCACCTTGGAAAGGTTACTGCCTTCTTCCAGTTGGGTGAGGATGGCATGGCTTCCCACAGAAGATCAACTCCTCATGCGTTCGGGTTTAGATGGTTTTGTCTTTATGCGCATTTATGTCTTCAGGTTACTAACTTTCATACTATACAACTTGTGGAATTTTGTAATCTTATTATATGCAAGAAACCATTTTAAGTTGATACGTTGAACAAAGGGCGTGTTTGGCACAATACGTTTAGGAGTTTCTAGCTTCTACCGTTTGACAAAACACTCCATTTTTAACAAAAAACCTCGTTTGACACTACAAATCCAAAAGCTGTGTTTAACAAAACGTTACCAGCTATCAGCTACCCGCTAGCTACTATCCGCTACCAGCTAGTTTTTCCAAAAGTAAGGTTATATTTTTTGAGCGTGAAATTTGAAGAATGATAACAACCAACAGCGTAGTGAGATAGGAGAACATGTTGGAAAAATGGTCTCAAAGATTCCCAACAATTTGTACAATGGAAAATAACAGAGAAAACTGAATACAAGAATATACGTGGATAACTCCAAATCTGGAGAAAAACCATAGAGAAAAAAATCACTATGTTACATTATTACAATCACACTGACAAATCTCTCGAGCCAATTCCCTTAAATTACACCCACACTCTCAAAAGTTTCAACTCATGCTTTTCTACTCTAAAACATGAGAAGAAAACAAAAGAATCAAAGTACTTAGAGTTTATTTGATTGGGGCTCTTTCGGAAAACTTTGTAAATTGTAACCAAAGCCTTCAATACTTTTTTTCTAGGCATGAAGCCAACTTCACCTTCCTACACTCTACCAATGTAGGACAAATTCCTTTTTTCATATAAACCAACAAATCTAACAAATCTCAACCAAATTTTGTTGTTCCACTTAATAGATGAAGCATTAAGCAACTAATCTCATTTGTGATCAGTTGTAATTTTATTTCCACATTTCTCATCCTCTATATCAGATTCCAAGCCGTGTAATCTTTTTCCTTCGTTACAGTTTGAAGGTATTCACTTTTGCTGCGGTAGTTGGCCTATGTATTCTTCTACCAATCAATTATATGGGAAGTCAGATATATATTGATTTTTTCGACTTTACAAACGAGTCCCTCGAATCATTCAGTATTTCAAATGTCAATGATGGATCCAAAAGGTGATTTTTACTACTTTACCATTTTGATTCTTCGACAGTTAAATGTTACAGTTTACTCTGATCACATTATTTGGAACTTTTGAAGGTTATGGATTCACTTTGGTGCGGTGTATGCCTTCACTGCATTTGTTTGCTATCTTCTTTATGTTGTAAGCATTCTTCTACTAATAACTACTCAATTTCCTTTTCCCAGTGAATAACCGATTTAATTATTATTATCTGCAGGAGTTTGGTTATATCGCTTCGAAAAGGCTTGCATTCTACTCCTCATCTGAGCCTAAGCCCAATGAATTTACTGTATTGGTTCGAGGTATTCCAAAGTCACCTACAGACACCTTAAGTGAAACTGTTGAGAAATTTTTCTCAGAGTGTTATCCGACATTATATCTATCACATTATATGATCTATAACACTTCAAAGATTTGGAAGCTAATTGTACGTCAACTTTTGAATCGTTTACATGATCCTATAATTAACATTCTTGATCCATTCAATTCATTTAATTCGTTTTTGTGTTATAATGTCATTCTAGGATGATGCTGAAAAGACATATAGAAAGCTTGTCAGTTTGAAGTCCACAAAGCAAAGTTCTCAAAGGTATGGTCGTGTTGGATGTTTCGGGCTTTTGGGGCCGAAAGTTGATCTCGTGGAGTATTATGAGAATAAGTTAGAAGTTCTAGAAGATAAAGTAAGAAAGCAACAATCACTGCTTAATGGAAAGGCAAGTTATTACTTTCCCACATTCTTATAGTATCTGCTTTCATTGGCTGTGTATCCGTATAGTATTTAACTACTTACCCTTGCTCCTTTTCACTTTAAGCTTTATTGTTTGTATTTTCTTTTCTTGTTCTTTAGTTACGTAACATTATTATTTCTTTATTGCGGGTAGACATTTCATATGCAGTCTCCCTACCCTCGGGTAGAGGTTGCCTATATCTTACCTCTCCCTTACCCCATTCTTATGTGACTTGGTTATTGTTGTTGTATGTGTATACAAGTGGGATCTACTTAACTTAATTACTTTTTAGACTTAATATTGACATTCATTTTTGGTTGGTTGATAATTTTGTATTTGGTAGGAACTTCGTGCTGCATTTGTATCATTCAAGTCACGGATTGGAGCTGCAATAACTTTAAACATCCAACAAGGACAAAATCCTACCGAGTGGCTTACTGACCCGGCCCCAGAGGACCGAGACATATATTGGGCCTTCTTTTCTACATCTTTTTTAACCAAGTGGATTGGGAATGTTGTGGTGGTTCTTGCATGTACGGCTCTTACAATTTTGTTCTTCATACCCGTTATCATAGTGCAAGGTCTCACAAATCTATACACATTGGAGATTTTGTTCCCTTTTCTAAAAGGCATATTGAATATGTAAGTGTTCATTGCATTTCTACCTTGCATAAATTACATATTTACCCTTCTCCCGCGATGGGACCTTTTCCTCGCGATGGGAGCCTAGTGGTTTGAGGTGCATGACCTTCCACGTGGGCCATGAGGCGAGCTGACATGGGCCGCTCAGATGGTGCAGTTTATCATTTTTTTTACTCCTTTCATATGGAACATGGGTATTGTTTGATGTTGTTGTTATATTATATATGGTGTTAATCTTGTGCTTTTTGCTTTAAGCTAAATACAAGAATTAACAACCTACTTTCATTAATTTGTATATTATATAATCCTACATTTTCAATTACAACATTGTAATTTCACTTCTTTTCTTATACAAACGTTGTACTTTGAAAAATCTACTACGGTATAACATTGTACTTTCAATTTTTTCTTAATACAACATTACTCTTTGCAGAATCTAACCAGTTATAGCATTCAAAATTGATTTGTATTTTGAAGACATTGCTATAACTCGGTAGATTTTTAAAAGTACAATGTTGTAATAGGAAAAAATGAAAGTAGGATGCTATAATAAACAAATTATGAATGCATACTCGCTTAATAACATCCTATAAGGCTAACACAAGTAATTTATAACTTACAGAAATGTCGTAAGCCAGGTCATCACCGGATATCTTCCCAGTCTGATTCTCAAGACGTTTTTAAAAATTGCGCCACCTGTCATGAAATTTTTATCCTCAATTCAAAGCTATGTTTCACACAGTCAGATAGAGAGAAGTGCGTGTATAAAAGTGCTATGGTTTATCATATGGAACGTATTCTTTGCAAACGCTTTATCAGGATCTATTTTGTATCGCCTCAATGTCTTTCTCAACCCTAAGCAAATACCAAGTATATTAGCTGCTGCTGTTCCAGGACAGGTGAAAATATTTTTAATATAACCCTCATGTTATCATATCATTATTTCTAACCTCTATTTTTTTTTTTTTTGAATATCTTACAGGCGTCATTCTTTATATCATACGTTGTGACATCTGGCTGGACAAATACAGCTTCAGAACTTTTACGCTTGACACCCCTCATTTTCAGTTACATAAAAAGAATTTTTGCCACTGAAAGTGATGAAGAATTTGAAGTGCCTTCACTCTCTTACGCCAGAGAGATCCCAAACATTCTCTTATTTGGACTTCTTGGCATTACATACTTTTTCCAATCACCTTTAATTCTGCCCTTTCTACTGGTTTACTTCTGTATGGGATACTTAGTTTATCGTCACCAGGTTAGAAGGATTTATGAATTATTTATACTGTCTACTGTCCATTATCCACTTTCCACTTTTCATTGTCCATTGTCTACTGTCTATTGTCTGTTGTAAACTTTCTACATTGTGGAACATTAGTAATTGTACTGATGACGTTTTCTTCATTTTACAGTTGTTGTATGTTTATTCGCCGAAATTTGAAACTGGTGGACAGTTTTGGCCAATTGTGCACCATTGTACAGTTTTTTCATTGATATTAATGCAATTGATTGCTATTGGGATATTTGGTCTGAAGCAACTTTCTTTAGCTTCCACTTTGACTATTCCACTTCCAATCATCACTCTTCTCTTCAATAGCTACTGCCAAAAGCGATTCTCACCACTTTTCAAAGGCTATCCTGTTGAGGTATGTGGAAATAATAATAATAATAATAATAATAATAATAATAATAATAATAATTATTATTATTATTATTATTATTATTATTATTATAGTATATAGTCTAGTATATCTAATTGTGAATTATTGGTGGTATAGTTGATGACAAAGAAAGACAAACGTGACGAAAATGACCCTACAATATCTGAATTTCGTGAGAATCTAATCACTGCATATCAAGATCCAGCTTTGAAGCCGATTAAATTTTCTAGTACAACAGACAGCCGCAATGCCCCACTTCTTGCTTTTGAGACATGAGTCTGGTAAAACCTTAATGCTGGTATTTCAAAAAGTGGGTGGTTTATGATAACAATCAATACTAACTGCACCTGGTGACTTTGTACAAATCCAAAGTGATAAAGTTGCATTGACTTGTACCTTGTGCAGTGAAAGTTATGCCTTGCATTGGATAGAGTTTAAAGGGAAGTCTTAGCTTCAGGATTGTTTGGTCTTAGTAGATACTTGTCAGCGATGATTTAGTTCATGTGATTGTATGTTGTATTATGTTCTTGGCATGTTTGATATTAGCTTGTATGTCCCCGTTGTTATGTTGAAGTATATAAATTTTTAATAAATTAGTATTTTGGAAAAGTAGACCATTGGTAACTCCATTATTCTAATAAATCTTATGTCTCAAAGGTACTTATACTAGATGAAATTTGGGTTTAGTAACTCCATTGGAGCGATTAAAGATGAAAACACACAGAGGGATATGGTGATAGAGAACTAAAATTCTGTATTTCAATTTTTGAATCCGTATTTTTTTTATATTTTAATTTGAAGTAACTTGTTGATTGGTGTTGATGAAGAAGGAGAACCTAGGTTTTAGCTTATAATGAAGCGATGGATGCTTTGTCCTCTATTATCACTAAACCAAAGGAGGGGCTATGGTCTCTCCTGCGGTTTGCCATGCTGGCGGTGGAACACTATCCCGGACTGCGCTTTCCGATACGGTCCGCACACTCTTTCTCTTACTTTCCGGCTTCTCAACCTTTAAATGGTCATATATTTAAAATTCGATTTTTATTTTTATTTTTTTATTTTTTTATCTATAAATAAAACCTTACAGCCCTTATTATTTACCACACATTAATTCAATTATTCTATCTTTCAATATCTTTTTTTTCAAAACTTTTAACATGTCTTCTTCCAACAACCCAAACAATCAAAAAGCACCCACTAAAAACACCTCAACCCCAAAACCTTAGTATATATTAACTGATTTATTCGCCTCCGGTTTATCACTATAGCAGCATGCTACTGTATTATCCGCATTAATTCCCACAACAATACTCACAACTATAACCACAAATGTACAATTGGGAGGTACCTTCACCTAGGGGCAGTGTTCATGGAGATATCGACGGTACCTCCATCTTTATTCATACCGTGCACCTTAAGCTAACTTATCAATAAGTTATTTTAAGTTAGCTCATCAACAAACTAATTTATAAGCTACTTTATAAATTACAATAAACTATTTTTATGGTTTTATCAAATATCAAATTATAATAACTCAATCATTGACTCATTGTTACTCTAAAATACCACAGACTACTCTTCGCCTTTACCTTACTACTTTACCACCGCTCACCCACAAGTACCACCTCCCGTTGGAATCGCATACCACAAATCCACCAGTGCAAAGTCGTAAACCACCGGCACACTTGCGCTCCACCGGCCCACCACTGTTTATTGCTCTATCCCTAAACCACCACCATCGGTGAAACCTACCTGCAAACCTGTATAATTAAACGAGTTATATGGGTTGGGTTGTGTTGATGTTTCTGACCCGCCAACTCATGACCCGTAAAACCTGAACCCGACCCAATTTCCACACCTACTATTGCTTTTACTTTAATTTTCCTTAAAGATTTTAGGTAATGTTTCATTTTAAGGTCATAGGCTTAATGATTTAAGTATTTAATCTAAACAACTATACATGATTGTTACTTTTTTGACTTAATATGCACATAATGGCTTAATGGCTATTTTTTAAAAAGAAGTAAACAATTTGTTGAATTTTATATATATATTAACCAAAAGTTGGCAAAAATATAAAAATATTATTTTCCTTTCTTTCCTTCCAATTTAGAAACATAATTTTTCACCCTTTTTTCCAAATTCAAAAACTAATTAATTCCTTTTTTCTTCATTTTCATGTTATTCTTTTTTTTTTCCAAACTCAACAACTATATATTAACCAAAAGTTGGCAAAAATATAACAATATAATTTTTCTTCCTTTTTTTTTTCTCTTCCCTTACATTTTCTTAATTTAAAAACTCGCATCTCAATTTGAACTTTTCACAAAACTTTAAATCTTCTGTACAACCTAGTATCATAGGAATGTGGAATTAATGAAGATTTTTTTGAAAAGGTCGTTGCAACCATTTTCACTTGGTACATATAAACTAGCTTATGTTTTATGAGTGTATTGTTATATAATGTTTTATACTATAACCGCTTGGAGTTGACATGTATAAGCTAGGTTGTTTTTTTAACTTATGGTAATATAGTGTTTGATAGTACAACTTGTACTTGGTAGTCTGACGCACATAAGCTAGGTTTTTTTTTTGACTTTTATTGTAATGTAGTATTTAATGAACTACTAAAGTACCTTATAACCTAAATTTTAAAAAATCAATTTGAGATATCATATTGATAAGTTATAAGAATTTTCGTAAGTTTTTCAATTATACCATTTATATGCAATAAACTATATCAAATGGCACAAACTTAAAAGAAAAAAAATTAATATAGTAATTTTTGTATTAGTTAGAAATAAATTAATATATATATATATATATAT